TTGAATCCTGGCCACAAACGTCTTTTGTCGGGAGACTATAAATACCCACAATATGTTATGTAAAAAATAGATTCGTGGATGAATGTAATTCAGATCTCAAATTGAGACGTTTCCCTTAGAAATCCGAGCATCATATTTGTCATTTCTAAGTTTCAAGCAATTCTTGTAGTGACTCAATTTAGAACAAGGTTCCAAATCTTGCTTCTAGATCTTCGATCGTAAGATGTAATCTAATTCTAGCCTTATCTCTTGGTTGATCCAAATTTCGTATAAGGAGGTGTTAATTACTTTGATTCAAGGGTTCTTGCTAAAGCAAAAGGTTGGATCGTTGGGCTGAGGATTAGGGTTGCCTTATTAGTTTGGTATCAGAGCGTAGTTTGCATCTTTGTGGCCGACTCTAGAATTGATTTTATCTTTAATTTCCGCTATTGTTTATCGTCTCTTTAAATCTGTCATTTATTTTCTTACTGTCATTTCCAACGTTCTTCATTATCCTTCTACTTTGTTCTTAGTGTCCTGTTAAAGATCATATTTAGATCTTGAAAGAAAAAAAAAAAAATTCTTATCATATTGTTCTTAATATATCCTTATCATTAGACCATTTGCACGTTTATTTGAAGATCAAATAAATTTCTATTCTCATTTTTCCCTTCAGCATATAAATCTTTAATTGTTGTATTCGATCTTCATGACCATTCTCTTTGGAATTCATTTTTTTTCAGTGTGCAATTATATCCATAAATATCTTTGTCCCTTATTTATTTGTTCATTTCTTGTTTTATTTTGTTGTTACTACGTAATTACCTTGTCTTGATTGTCTTGAATAGCTCGCTACTATCAGAATTTCTTTATCCATATTATCTACCTTGATAAGAAATTAGTCACTTTCCCAAATAGTCTACCTTTGAGTGTTAAACACAAGTGTTCCTGAGTGTAAAATCAGTGAGTTGAGTGTGTGAGGTCCCAAGCATATAAAACTCCTGTTTGTACAATCATGAACCAAGACGAGAAAAATGGAGGGGAGATCAATGATCTAGTTGAAGAAGTCCAGAAGAATGAGAAGAAACTAGAAGATGGTATTCATTTGGCACTTATTACAAGAAGACTTCTTAAAACTCAAGTATGGAGAATGATGTTGATGATCAAAGAGACAACCTATTTCACACGCGGTAGTTAGTCAAGGGGATTGCTTGTAGTCTTATCATTGATAGTGGAAGTTGCACCAATGTAGCAAGTACTATGTTGATCAAAAGGTTGCAAATTCCAACTCAAGATCATCCTAAACCTTACAAGCTCCAATGGCTCAATGATAGTGGAACAATGAAGGTAATTTCCCAAGCTTTAATATCTTTTATTTTGGGAAAATATAAAGATGAAGTTCTTTGTGATGTGTTGCCAATGCATGCTGGAGACATATTGCTTGGCCGACCATGGCAATTTGACAGGAGGGTTATGTATGATGGCTATTTGAATAGGTATTCTTTTGTAAAAGATGGTAATAAAAACCATTCTTATACCTTTGAGTTCTGCATATGTAACTGATCAATTAAAGTTGGAAGAAAGAAAGAAAGAGTTTAAGGAAAAAGAGTTAAAAGAAAAACAAGAGTTTAGTGAAAAAGTAGAGAAAAATCAAAGAGAAAAAAAGAAAATGAAAAAAGAGATGAAATTGAAAAAAAAGGAAGAGAGATAGTTATTTGGCTACCGTTGGAAAGGTGAGAAGGTTTTCACAAAAATCAATCTTTGTACTGATGTACAATGGAGGATTTTTTGTCACTAACTATAATAACTTGGCTTTGCCTAGAGATGAAATCGAAGAAAAAAAGAAGAGAGATAGTTATTTGGCTACATTTGTAGAGGTGAGAAGATTTTCACAAAAATCAATCTTTGTACGGATGTACGGAGGATTTTTGGTCTCTAACTATAACAACTTGGCTTTGCCTAGTTTTTTTCAATCTCTTTTACAGGAATTTGAAGACATGTTTCAAGATAAAAAAATACCTCCCATTAGAGAGACAAAAGAAATTCAAAGGCAAGTGGATGAGCTCATGGAGAAGGGCTATGTACTAGAAAGTTTGAGTCCATGTTCTATACGAGACTTATTGGTGCCAAAGAAAGATGAACCTTGGCGCATATGCATGGATAATAGAGTCATCAACAAAATCACGATAAAGTGTCGACATCCTATTGCTAGGTTAGACGATATGCTTGATTTATTGCATGATTCGTGTCTATGTATAAAAATTATTTTGAAATCTGGATATCATCAAATTAGAATGGAGATGAATGGAAAACAACTCTCAATATTAAGTTTGGATTGTATGAATGGCTTGTTATGCCTTTTAGGTTAACTAATGCTCCTAGTAAACCTATGCGCTTAATATATAATATTTTGAGAAAATATATGAGAAAACATGTTGTTTATATTGATGATATTATAATTTATTTGAAGATTTTGCTTGGGCATGGGGAGCATATTAAATTAGTTTTGATTACACATAGAAAAGAGAAATTTAATTTTAATAAGGGTAGTTTTTGCATGGAAAAAGTTCACTCTATTGGCTTCATAGTTGATAAAAGTAGAATAGCATTAGATAGAGACAAAAGTTAAATTCATTATGGATTTGCCAACACCAAAGAGTGCACGTAAAGTTCAAAGTTTTCATGAGTTAGCTAACCTCTATAAGAGATTTATAGATGATTTTATAACCATAACTGAACTATTGAATGATTTAGTCAAAAAGAATGATGTTTTTAAATGGGGAGGAATGCAAGATAATGCATTCAATTTGGTTAGGAACAAATTAAGCTATGCATCATTATTTGTTTTGCCTAGCTTTTATAAAACTTTTGAAATTGGATGTGATGCATGTGGTTTGGTCATAATAAGTGTTGTTTTAATTCAAGATGAAAAGCCGTTAGTGTATTTTAATGAAAAACTAAATGGGGCAACATTGAAATAACCTACCTATGATAAAGGTTTGTAGTTCATATATTGCATGTGCCGCAACACATACTTATGGTCTAGAGAATTTGTGATCCACTTTGATCCTGAAAACTTAAAGTATGTGAAGGGTCAAAGCAAACTGAACCGGAGACATGCAAAGTGGGTGGAATTTATTGAAACATTTTCATATGTCATAAAGTATAAGCAAGGTAAGGATAATACTAGCTCATGTGTTATCTAAAAGGTATGATCTCTTTACTTCTCTTACTGCAAAAATTCTTGAAGTTGAGCATATTATTAAATTATATAGAGATGACCAAGACTTTAGAACTATTTATGCATCTTGTCTTGCAAAAAAAAGTGGTGGATGATTATTATGTGTTTCATAAATTTTTAATTACTAAGAGTATGCTTTGTATTCCTAAATGCTCTATAAATGATTTGTTTTTTAGAGAAGCATATGGTGGTGCTTTAATGGGACATCTTAGGATTAATAAAGTTTATAAGATGTTGCATAAACACTTTTGTTGGCCGAAGATAAAGCATGTGGCATATAGATTTATGGAGGATGCAAAGCATGAGCATGCATATAGATTTATGGAGGATGCAAAGCATGCTGCTCATTTATTCTTTAAGAATACACTTCATTTGCTTCCTATTCCTACTAATTTCCTTCTAATATTTTTGTGAGTGAAGCATTTAGATTTGATCAAAACATTTCAAAAGGAGGTGACAGAAAGAAGGTGATGATTTTTTCTGGTTCGAGGACGAATCCTTTTGAAGAGGGGGAAGATGATAAGAATAAACATTTCAAAAGGAGGTGGCGAAAAGAAGGTGATGATTTTTTCTGATTCGAGGACGAATCCTTCTGAAGAGGGGGAAGATGATAAGAATCACTGTGTTCCAAATTGACCTATTACCAAAAAGATTAAAAAAAAAATGTCATGAAGATACAAAAAAATATGTCAACAACAAAATTCGAATCCAAACATTTCAAAAGGAGGTGACAGAAAGAAGGTGATGATTTTTTCTGATTCGAGGACGAATCCTTCTAAAGAGGGGGAAGATGATAAGAATCACGGTGTTCCAAATAGACCTATTACCAAAAAGATTCAAAAAAATGTCATGAAGATTCAAAAAAATATGTCAACAACAAAATTCGAATCCAAATGGACCTATTACCAAAAAGATTCAAAAAAATGGACCTATTACCAAAAAAGATTCAAAAAAATGTCATGAAAATTCAAAAAAAATATGTCACATTAACCACTCAAGCACATTAACATTTGTTAAAAAAAATTATGTTTAATTTCATAAATGATGTAAAAGTCAAATGGTTAATTTGACTTATTCTTTGTGGAGATTAAAGGGGATCGGGAATAAATCCCGTCGACAAACATATCGATTGAATCCTAGCCACAAACGTCTTTTGTCGGGAGACTATAAATACCCACAATATGTTGTGTAAAAAACAGATGCGTTGATAAATGTAATTCAGATCTCAAATTGAGACGTTTCCCTTAGAAATTCGAGCATCATATTTGTCATTTATAAGTTTCAAGCAATTCTTGGGTAGAACTGCACCCGAGCCATTCAATCAAGCCTTGATCAAGTTATATTGTGGAGTGACTCAATTTAAAACAAGGTTCCAAATCTTTCTTCTAGATCTTCGATCGTAAAAGATAATCTAATTCTAGCCTTATCTCTTGGTTGATCCAAATTTCGTATAAGGAGGTCTTAATTACTTTGATTCAAGAGTTCTTGCTAAAACAAAAGCTTGGATCGTTGGGCTGAGGATTAGGGTTGCCTTATCACCTACAAATATCACTCCACACTCTTCCGTTTTCCTATCACTTGCTTCCTTTTTCTCTCTCTCTTGCTTATCACCAACCCTGGTATCATTAATTTTTCTTCAACTCTTCTAGTAACCTTACATGTTTTTCTTTCCCTTCTACTTCTGTTTTTTAACCATGCCTGAGATGATGAATTACCATTCAATATTATTAGCCTCGGTGCCAAGTCCGATGGAAAGACCGATGCCTCGTCTGTGCTTCAAATGACATGGGCTAAGGCTTGTGACTCGTCTACACCAGCCACTATTTACGTTCCCCAGGGTATATTCTACGTTCGAAGTGTGAGCTTTAATGGGCCTTGTAAGAACAATGTTATTACTGTTCTCATTGATGGAACTCTTGTGGCTTCCTCAGAGATTCAAGTTTTAGCTAAAACTAAATCTTGGATTGAGTTTAGTCACATAGATGAGCTTTCGATTACTGGTGGTATTATCAATGGGCAAGAAACTGCCTTATGGAATTGTAAACACTTGGGAAAGAGATGCCCCATTGGAGCCACGGTAATGCAAAATTTGAGTTGGCTAGATAAAAAATACAATTTGAAAATTTTTCTTTGGTTGAAGGTTGAAAGAAAATCAATTGATGAATTACAATATTAATTTAAAATTTATACTGATTCTTGCTTTTGATTCTTTTGAATCGATAGAGTATTCAAATAAATGATGCACAAAATGTGAACATCAATGGATTATCTTCGATTAACAGCCAAAAGTTCAACATGGTGCATGGATTTCAAAACGTGCATATGACAAGAGTGAATGTCTCGTCTATAGACGATAGTCCAAACACTGATGGCATCCATGAGCAACAATCATCAGATGTGACCATCCTCAACTCGAGCATTAGCAACGGTGACGACTACATCTCAATCAGTCCAGGGACCTCCAACTTGTGGATGGAAAGTATTATATGCGGACCTGGACATGGAACTAGGTAGCTAGAGATAGATTATGACGAACATGTTTAGAAATGTTTTTTTTAAGGGTTAAATAAATTTGTCACATTAAATTTTAAAAGATGAAACTAAAGGTTGAATTAAATTTGAATGATTAAAAATATATTTTAAAGTTATTTTTGAGGGTGAGAGAAAAGATTTAAATTATTTTAAAATTATTTTGGATCAAAATTATTATTTAATATATTAGGTTAGAATGAGAAAATTAAACCTCATGAAAAATTTGGTATTTTATTGAATGTATTTGTAGCATTGGGAGCTTGGGGATAAAGGCCGAAGAGGATGGAGTGCATAACGTTACACTGACATTATCTACTTTCTCTAGAACTCATAATGGAGTAAGGATTAAGTCTTGGGGAAGACCAAGCCGTGGATTTGCTACAAAAGTTTATTTTCAACACATCATATGGATAATGTGAAAAACCCAATCATAATTGATCAAAATTACTGTCCATATGAGAAAGACTGTCCTGGTTAGGTATAATTTCTCTTCAATCTCATACAAGTTAATTTTTTTCTAATTATATTTAACCTTAAATCTGAATAGAACTCAAATTTTTTATTTTATAAATAATTGATTTATTTTCTCTTTAATTGTTTGAAATTTGTTTGGTTTAAAAAGGGTGCTAAATTATTAGTATTATTTTTTTTTTGTTACATTAAATTACTTTTATGGGTAATAAATATCGGACTCCGTTGCAATCCGTTGATCATTCTTCTTTATTCTAATAGGCTTCTGGAGTTAAAGTCATCGAAGTAACATACGAAGACATCAAGGGAACTTCCGCCACTGAAATACCAATCAATTTTGATTGTAGCCCAATAAATCATTGCACTAAATTAGGTTTGAAAGACATAAACCTAACTTATGAGAATCACATCGCTAAAGCTTCATGTAAGAATGCCGAAGGAACTACCTCGGGTGTAGTTGAACCTTCTAGATGCTTAGCAGACAAATCTAATTTTTGGCAAAACGTGTTGGTACTAAGATTAAAGGATAATAAAAATTCTCTAGAGGGCTTTAAATTATTTACCAATTCCACCATAAAAATAGAACAACTTTGATAAAAATTGAAACTCAATAAATTTTTTCCTATGGTATAGTATTTAGTGATTTAAAACAATTGCAGTCTGTGGAGTAGGTCTAAGTGTTCCTACTAAACGAGACAATGTCAATGAAATATTATACTAGAATAACTCTTATTTCTATAGTTGTTTAAGTAACTATTAGTTTGCTCAACCACATCATTAACAATCTTAATAAATCTACCCATTATTTTAGATACCTTAATTTATCATTTTAAGAGTTCAGCTTAATATTGACCCGTTCAAATAACTTCCATAGGAGGACAGTCCAAAAGCCACCACGAACCTCTGTATGGATCTCACATTATGAACCAATGATCGAGACCGTATGCTATATTGTCATGTTTCCTTCTCACTATTTTGAAAATAGTTCATACTTATGCAAACTAGGGTAGACTTATTTATTTGCAAGAGAACTCGAACTTAATACCCACTTTGTTGTCAATAACTTCCCTTTGAGACTGTGGCCATCTACCAATATTTTTTTTTGTTGTTGTTTTTAGGACTTTTTTTAATCATTCCCTATTGGACAAGACTTCTTTAGAATTAAATTTGGAACTATTGGGCTCAATCTTAAGAACTAAGAAATGAACTATTAAGTAAGACGTGAACCTTTCCTTCATGAAATACTCCCTTTATTGAAATTGACAAACTCTTGATCTTAAGCTTTATGGTGATTGCAACATTTTCATAAAGGACTTAGAATTAGAATTGAAATACAGTTTATTGATTGATCAAATTTGAATTTCAAATGTCGATTTTGGGACCAAAAAAAGAGAGTTTAATCCTAAAACTTTCCTCTTATTTCTTGATAATAAGGTATAATTCTGAGCTCTGTGTTCATAGCAAAGAGGGTGAAATCATAGTGAACTAAGGGCTAGAACGTGCAAATGGAAAAAAGTTTCAGTCACCGAAGTTCGGGGTAAGTTTGGTTAACCCCATGATTTTGAGCCTCAATTTCTCTTTTCTTAGTTAATGTTAATTGCTGAGATTGGTACCGACATGTTCATGTTCAAGGTATCTTGAAGTTTGGTGAAGGAACCAATTTCAATCGAGGCCTAGAATATACTGATCGAGGGTGATATCGGACTATCTAAGCCTTCACCACACGCATGTCGAAATGGTTACAAGGTAGAAGATGATCATGTGGTTGGTTCACCTTAACTAACCATTAATGGTTCATCTAAACCCATCTTTTAAACTCTTTAATGTTTTTGTTCAATTTTAACCAAATGAGGATAGTAAATTGTGATTCAAGGTCCTAGACATGTATATTTCTATCCTAACAACCTGATCACAAAATATAAAACATGTCAAGTCAATTCCTATCACGAGAATCGCTTACATGTATGTTGTTTTTAATACTTCTTACTAATTTCTCTCTCTCTTTTTTTTTTTTTTTAACATGAATTTGGACCAAATTATAATATTTGGAGAGATTTAAGCTTGAGGAAGGGGTAAAACCTGAACTTTTTCAAGCATGTAAATAGTCAATTTGATTTTAGGAATTTACTTGGGAATGTTTGATATTTTGTGATCCATTAGTTAGGATAGAAATATACGATCCTCCTTTGGTTGAATTAGCGTGATAGGACGAACTAACGATTATTCATGTCTTTATTGAACTGAGCTGCTCAATTTATGTCTTAACATTTATTTCTACAATCCAAAACAACGAGGAAGACTTGATCAACACATATAAACAAGGTCTCAACAAACAACTTGGGGCTATATACCAGAAAACTCTACCTTAATTCTTCCTGCCATAGCGAGTAAAATCATTCTATCATGGCTCAAGGGCCAAAGCTAGTCCAACTTTATCACTCTTATCAATTGCTTGGGTGTCTACATTCACAGATACGGTGAGGAACGACATTGGACGCCATTCGTGCTGGATAAGAGCACTGGCTTTGCCAAAGTTGTTCACTCGAGCCTTCACCGTGGTCAGTGGACCAAGTGCATGTTGGGTGCCAATGGTGATGGTATTCTAAAAAAAACAGGGTAGCTTCCATAAAGCCTTTGTGATATCTTTTTGTCCTAAAATCACACTTTTGGACTCGTGGGGTGTTTTGTAGTTGAACCATCGAGGCAGTGCACATGAGAACATGTACTCAAGTTATTTGGCTTCATTGGAAGCTTTCATAGTTGGCCACTTGTCAACATTTTCTCTTTCACAAGACTCGCATTGGATAGCGTCCGCTTTGTCTCATTTTCACCTGCCTGAAAAAGTGGCATAAAAAGCTTGTGGTGTTTAGATCTTTCTCTTATTCGACGAGTTGGGGCTATGTTCTTCCCTATAAATGTCAGTGGGTCAAACTTGTTAGAGTCCCGCTGACCTCTCCGTTGGAAATGAACGTTTAACTAGCACAGCGGAAGTATTAGAATCGTCCTTGATCTTACTTAGAATTAAACAAAACAAAATGTTAAACAAACTACGTTGAAGAAATATGGAGAAAGTTCTCGCAGATTTTTAATCTACTTGCTCCAACTTCTCCAATAGTTGAATCTCCTTCGTAAAGTATTCATTCCGTGGGCCTTACCAAGGAAAGAAATGCTGCTTGCGGGGATCTTCTGCCAGGACGCTAGGAATCGAACACAAAGTCAAGCCTCATGGTCGCTTCTTGAAAGAAAATATGCAAAGACGAGAGAAGGAGATTTTTAGAGAGAATTCTGGAAGGGAGAAAGCGTGGGATGCTTTTTGGCTCAACCCTAGGGTCTTCTCTACAACGATTTGAGATTATTTACCAAATAATATATTAGAATATCTAATATAGTAGGATAAAACATATTCCCCGAATCATATTTAAATGCCGTAAGATATTCTAATATATATTTAACTAATTTAAATGTAGTTCAAATTTCAAATATATATTTTCATTCCATTATCCATATACATGGATTATTTTAATATTTAATATATCAAAAACAATAAATATATTTTTCTCTTATTTGAACCCATTAAATGAAATGTATTTTTCTTTCTTTATATTTAATATATCTAATATATTAAATAGTAATTTAAACACTCCCAACTATATATAGTTTTCTCTTTTTGTATTTAATCTAAGTCATATGTTAAATATCAATTTGAACACTTGAAATTAAATACTTTTTCTTCTTTGAAATTTTCCTTCAACTAAATCGATCCTTTGAGTGTTACTATGAGCTAGCAAAGGAACCTTACGGTGACCGTATTGATTATAAGCTGCAATGATATAAAATTAATTAAATATTTTCCTTAATTAATCAACTTTGTTCATTAACTATAGGCCACTCCATGGTAGACCTAGAGTTGCACGCTTATATATAGTGTAGATCAAGTTGACCATTGATATAATCGTTACAAGCAATCACGAGTTGTTCGTAATATCTTATCCCTCAAGTGCCACTAACTCTCTTATGAACAATATATTTATGATCAAACCATAAACCAAGTTCCTCTAGGGTCGGTGAGAGAGTGTGACTCCATTGTTCAAGTCCCGAAATCATAACTTAAGGAAACTAATCGTCTACTTATTCTATATCGAACGGAAAGAGTGAATTTCATCTCATGAAATTATGTTCACAGCTCTCTATTTGGTAAGTTCCCAAAATAGTAGACATATTAAATTTGCAGTAAAAGTCATTCTCAACTCACTTAGGATTAAGATTGAGTCGCATATGGTCATCCTGTAGAATATTAATTTTCTCGATTAATGAATTTGTAAAGGGAGCTAAAATAATTTCGTGGTCCACTCTTTGCAGTATAAGATACACCCACTCACATGTGTGAATGATTTAGATATAATCATTTGTAACAATTACAAACGTATCAATTATGTTATCAGTATAAGAGACTAAACCTTATCCATATACTATAGGCCCTTTAGGTTGTTCTTAAACATGATCCTCTTGTATGTCAATCACATATTGTTTAAGAGTACATCAATGATCTAGGACTTTTCATACCATGAATAATGTTAAATTTTAAATAAAATAATCAAATTTATTATTAAAATTAAACAATTAATTACAAGGCTTTATGGGATAAATCTCAATACTCTCGATGTCCAAGATAATCTGACATTGTCCCCACTTTTTATGTTACCCTAGTTTACCTTAGTGGCCTAGATCATAGATTGTAGTGTCATGGTATCCACTTATTCCGATGCTTGTTCTTATCGAGCCTTTCCTTATAAGGAATTTGAGCAAGGTCGGTCTCAGTCAAGGGTCTACTTGCTCTACCACCTCGTCAAGTACCCCTTCAGATTTTAGGGTACATAATCTATTCATCATGCAACAAAATCTAAGTTATTAGGTATTGTAACCAATTATAACCTAATTAGATCATAAGACGTAACTAATATATGCATATAATTCACATAAGGAGTGAGATCATGCGTACTAACCTCACAACTTACACACCTTGTCAAGGCGAGGTGAGCTTAAGTCAAGTTGCAAGGTGTCATGGTCATGCTTGCCCAAGGCGCGTTGCTTACGGTCGCGTGTCAGATGTTCCAATGATGCTTGTCCAGAACGTAGTGTCCACAACCGCATGCCCGTTCTAACCACTTTACTTGCTTTCATGTGAGATGGACATTTACTATTTTTGTTGTGTTAGTACGAGGGCATGACCTGTCGACAAAATCATGTCTACAACCTTTACGGCTTAAATGATGTCCTTGTTTATCAGTTTTCATTGCATACATTGATTGTTCTTCTTTATTCTAATATAGGCTTCTAGAGTTAAAGGCCTCGAAGTAACATACGAAGAGATCAAGGGAACTTCCGCCACTGAAATAGCAATCAATTTTGATTGTAGCCCAATAAATCATTGCACTGGATTAAGCTTGAAAGACATAAACCTAATTACGAGAATCACATCGCTAAAGCTTCATGTAAAAATGCCGAAGGAACTACCTCTGGTGTGGTTGAACCTTCTGGTTGCTTAGCAGACAAATCTAATTTTTGGCAAAACGTGTTGGTACTAAGATTAAAGGATAATAAAAATGCTTCAGACGGCTTATAAATAATTTACCAATTATACCATAAAACTCAAACAACTTTGACAAGAACCGAAACCCAATAAATTTTTTCTTATGGTAGGGTATTTAGTGATTTAAAACAATTCCAGTCGTGGAGTAGGTCTAAGTGTTCCCACTAGACGAGACAATGTCAATGACATATTATACTAGAATAACTCTTATTCCTATGGACGTTAAATATTATACTAGAATAACTCTTATTCTTATAGTTTTTTAAGTAAGTATTAGTTTGCTCAACCAATCATTAACAATCTTAATAAATCTACCCATTATTGTAGACACCGTAGTTTATCCTTTTAAGAGTTCAGCTTGATATTGACCCGTGCATTGGACAATACGTCTCTAGAGTTGAATTTTGGACTGATGGGCTCAATCTTAGGTACGAAGAAATGAACTATTAAGTAAGACCTGGACCTTTCCTTCTTGAAATACTCTCTTTATTGAAATTGACCAACTCTTGATCTTAAGCTTTATGGTGATTGCAACATTTTCATAAAGGACTCAAAATTGAAACAAAGTAGATTGATTGATCAAATTTGAATTTCAAATGTCGGTTTTGGGATCCAATAAAGAGAGTTTAATCTTAAAAATTTCATTTATTTTCTAGATAATAAGGTATAATTCTGGGCACTTAGTGTTCATAGCAAAGAGGATGAAATCATAGTGAACTGAGGGCTAGAACATGCAAATGGAAAAAAGTTTCTGTCACCGAAGTTCTGGGTAAGTTTGGTTAACCCCATGATTTTGAGCCTCAATTTCTCTTTTCTTAGTTAATGTTAATTGCTGAGATTGGTACCTACATGTTCAAGTTCAAGATATCTTGAAGTTTGGTGAAGGAACCAATTTCAATTGAGACCTAGAATGTGCTGATCAAGGGTGATATCGGACTATATAAGCCTTCCCCACACGCATGTCGGAATAGTCACAAGGTAGAAGATGATCATGTGGTTGGTTCACCTGAACTAACAATTAATGGTTGATCTAAACCCCATTCTTTAAACTCGATAATGTTTTTGTTCAATTTTAACCAATGGAAGATCGTCAGTTGTGACTCAAGGTCCTAGACATGAATATTTCTATTGATAAGAATCACGGTGTTTCAAATGTTCCAACTGGACTTATTACACGATCCAAGATGAAGAAGATTCAAGAAACATTCATTCTTCATCTAAAAAATTGGATCGGCTCGATTCAACTATAATTTCTAGAATTAGAAGCTGATACGATTGACGAAGGACAATTGAATATTTGCACGGTTAAAGTTGGAAAACTTTAAAATGTCAATAACAGAATTCAAACCTACGCGCAGAGAGTTCAATTGATTTCGAACCAACTTAAGCACATCAACATTTAATAGAAAGAACTATTTTTAATTTCATAAATTATATAAAAGTCAAATGGTTAATTTGACTTATTCTTTTGTGGAGATTAAAGGGGATCGAGTATAAATGTTGTCCACAAGCGTCTTTTTTCGAGAGACTATAAATACCCACAATATGTAATGTAAAATTTAGATTCGTGGAAGAATGTAATTTAGATCTCAAATTGAGGCATTTCCCTTACAAATTCGAGCATCATATTTTCTATTTTTAAGTTTCAAGAAATTCTTGTTCGAGTCATTCAATCAAGCCTTGATCAAGTTCGATTGTGGAGTGACTCAATTTAGAACAAGGTTTCCAAATCTTGCTTCTAGATTTTCGATCATAAGAGGTAATCTAATTCTAACCTTATCTCTTGGTTCATCCAAATTTCGTATAAGGAGGTGGTAGTTACTTTGATTCAAGGGTTCTTGCTTCAACAAAAGCTTGGATCGTTAGGCTGAGTATTAGGGTTGCCTTATCGATTTGGTATCAGAGCCTAGGTTTACATCTTTGTGGCCGACTCTAGAATTGATTTTATCTTTCATTTCTGCTATTGTGTATCTTTTCTTTAAATCTGTCCATTTATTTTCTTGCTGTCATTTCCGCCATTATTCATCAACTTTTCACTTTGTTCTCATTTTCTACTAAAGATCACATTGAGATCTTGAAAAAAAAAAAAATTCTTATCATATTTGTTCTTACGATTGTGATTATAAACAAACTTTATCATTTATTTTTATCATATTCATGTTTATTTGAAGATCAAATAAACTTTGATTCACATCCTTTTCTTAATCCATCTAAATCTAAAACCGTTGTGTTTGATATTTTTTTTTTCTCTCATAATCTACACTTGAAGATAACTTTTAAATTTCCCGAATGTTGTAAAAAGGAGATTTAGATCGTTCTTAAATCTTCACGTCCTTTCTTTTTGGAATTTTTTTTTATTTTTTCAGTGTGCAATTCTATCCAAAAATATCTTTGTGTCTCTTGTTTGTTTGTTTATTTCTTGTTTTATTTTGTTGTTACTTCATAATTAACTTATCTTGATTGCCTTGAATAGCTTGCTACCATCAGAATTTCTTTACCGATATATTAGCCTACCTTGATCAAAATTTAGTCACTTTCCCAAATAGCCTATCTTTGTGTGTATAAACACGAGTGTCCCTGAGTGTAAAATCAGTGAGTTAAGTGTGTGAGGTCCTAAACATATTCCACTACTGTTTGTACAATCATGAACCAAGACGGAGGAAATGGAGGGGAGATCAATGAAGCTAGGTGGAGAGAAGCACAAGTCGGAACAATTACTCGTTTGAATCAAGTTATTAGTACATTGACAGATCAAATGGAGCGAATTGAAATAACCTTAGGTAATCTTCAAGGGAGGTAAGTACTCTTGAACGAAGGAGTTGAAAATGAAGAAGATGAAAATGTCACCATTTTAGCGGGACATAGTCCTAGGGGAGGGAGAGATGTCGGTCGAGGGAGAGGAAGAGTCAGAAGAAGGGGTAGAGAAATTTTAGCACCAAAAATAATTGAGGGGGAGTACCAGTATGAGAGAGAAAAAGAAGGGGGAGTAAAGCTAAAAATTCCAACTTAATATGGGAGATCTGATCCAGAGGAGTATTTGCAATATGAGAGCAAAATTGAGCATGTCTTCGATTGCAACAATTTCAGTAAAGAAAGAAAGTTGAAGCTTGTTGTGCTGAATTTTGTGATTACGCCATTATATGGTGGACATCTTTGAAATCAGAGTGGAGAAGAAATTATGAAGAACCAATTGAAACGTGAGAGGAATTGAAGACATTAATGAGAAAAATGAACATTCCTAAGCATTATTCTCGAGTACTCAAGCAAAAACTCTATACTTTACAATAGGGATCCAAGAGTGTTGAAGAATATTACAAAGAAATGGAGACCCTTATGAATAGAGCATGTATTGATGAAGATGAGGAATATACAATGGCTAGATTCCTTGGTGGGATAAACCGACAACTTGCTCATCAAATGGATAGGCAAGCGTACTTTAATATGCAAGAATTGTTACACCTTGCTGTCAAAATCGAAGGGCAACTAGCTTGGGAGAAGGAGAACTCCAAGAGGTATGGTATTTCAGAGTCTACTACTTTCAACACTTGGAAAAAGAGTACAAATATTGAAAAGATAGATTTCAAAGTTGGAGGCAAGTATGATCTTGACAAAAAGAACAAAGTTGAGACCTCCAAGGGTAAAGAAAAAGCGGAGTAATACAAAGAGATTTGAGAAAGAAATAGAGACTATCAAATGTTGGAAATGTCAAGGAATTGGTCATCTTAGTCGTGATTGTCATAACAATAGAGTCATGATCATCAAGAGTGGACAAGTTGTCACTGATAGTGAGGAAAGTGACGCTTGATGAGCTAGTTGAAAAAGAAATCTAGGAGAATGAGGAGGAACTAGAAGATGGGAGTCATTTGGTACTTATTACTAGAAGACTTCTTAAAACTCAAGTTACAGAGAACGATGTTGATGATCAAAGAGACAACCTATTTCACACAAGGTGTTTAGTCAAGAGGACTCTTTGTAGTCTTGTAATTGATAGCAGAAGCTGCACCAATGTCATAAGTACCATGCGGATGAAAAGGTTGCTAATTCCAACCCAACACCGTCCTAAACCTTACAAGCCTCAATGATTCAATGGCAGTGGAACAATGAAGGTAACTTCTCAAGGTTTAATATCTTTTAATCTGGGAGAATATAAAGATGAAGTTCTTTGTGATGTTTTACAAATGCATGCTGGAGACATATTGCTTAGCCAACCATGGCAATTTAACAGGAGGGTTATGTATGATGGCTATTTAAATAGGTATTCTTTTGTAAAAGATGGTAGAAAAACCACTCTGGTACCTTTGAGTTCTGCAAATGTATTTGTTGATCAATTAAAGTTGGAAGAAAAAAAGAAAGAGTTTGAGGAAAAAGAGTTGAAAGAAAAACTAGAGTTCGAGTGAAAAAATAGAGAAAAGTCAAAGGAAAAAAAACACGGTGAAAAAAAGAATGAAATTGAAAAAAAAAAGAAAAAAGAATGTGACTTGTTTGGCTAGAGTTGGAGAGGTTAGAAGGGAAATGTTCTCACAAAAAACCATCTTTGTACTTATGTACAAGGAAGGATGTTTGGTCTCTAACGATAACAATTTGTCTTTGCCTAGTATGTTTCAATCTCTTTTAAAGGAATTTGATGACATATTCCAAGATGAAGTCCCTAAAGGACTATCTCCCATTAGAGGTATTGAACATAAAATAGACTTTATTCCAGGGGCAGTCATTTCTAATAGGCCAGCTTAGCTTATAGAGCCAACCCAACTGAGACTAAAAAAATTCAAAGACAAGTAGAGGAGCTCATGGAGAAGGGCTATATACGAGAGAGTTTGAGTCCATGTTCTGTACCAGTCTTATTGGTGCCGAAGAAAAATTGAATGTGGCGCATGTCCGTTGATTGTAGAGCCATCAACAAAATCACGGTGTGGTAACTACTTATGGCCTAGAGAATTTGTGTTCCACGCTGATCAT